CCCAAGAGGACCCTGCGGCGGCCGGCCCCGAGGACAAGCCGCCGCCGCCGCCGCCAAAGGGGAACCCGTGGACCAAGAAGCTGCCGCAGCACCTGTCCCCCGTGGGCACCGGCGCGCCGCCGCCCGCTCAGGACGCCCCGGAGGCCGGTGAGCGCGGTCCGCGGGAGGTGTTGGGTTCCTAGGTGGTGTCATTCACCGTGCCCATTTACATAAATGGACATCTGGGAGAAGGAGCGACAGGAAGAGGTGGGACCTCAGGTTCTCCTTGACGGGTAGGGGCACGGACGGCGTGGGTGACTGGGCAGCGCGGCCCGGCCCGGCTCGGCTTGTGCCTTCTTCACGTGTCGGCCACCGGGACGCAGCGCAGACAGACTGTGGGAAAGTTTCCGTGAACTTGCCCGAGTGTAAGCGAGTCCGAAGAAGCGGGTCTGTGTGTTCAGTGGCAGCGCGGCCGGGCTCGCTCGGGAAGTAGCTGGTGAGAGGAGAGGTCCCCCAAGGCTGCTGGGGCGATGTGGCTGTGAGGGTAGCTGGCCTTGGGGTGGCTTTTCGGTTGCGTTTCAGCATGCCTGACGGGACAGTTGATCGGGAGTCGGGATCGCACGGCTGGTCTCATGCTAGCCTGCGCATTAGAGATCGGGTTGTGCCATCGCGTTCGAATGCTGACCGGTGCAATATGGCCCTTGGGGCTTTATTTGGGTTGCAGCAACTACAGTTTAGAAAGTAAGGTTAAGACTGGCCTGTACTTGGTGGCGCACGCCTGCAACTCCACCGATGGGGAAGATTAGGCGTCCGAAGCCAGAATGAGCAATTTATTTTACTAAAGTCTTTAAAAAAAAAAAATGGAAAAGCTGAGTGAAACTTCCCATTTGTTTTTAAAATTAAACTGTACTAAAATAACTGGGCTTTGTGTGTGGAAATTGAGGCTGTTGGCAAGTTTTCGCTGTTGTGAGGCGAGTCAGTGGAATAGCCGAAGTTTGAGTATGTTTACAGGGTTGTGGGGGTCAGAGGCGGTGAAGGGATCCTGTACAGATGTGATAGTTGTATCTCTCCTGTAGGGGGAGATAAATGTTGAACCAACTTATCAGTCTCTTAGCTTTTGCACGGAAATCCTCATTATTTTGTTGTTGTTTTGTTTGCTTTTGAAACACGATCTATTTGTGTATCCCAGGTTGCTCTGGAACTCTTGATTCTCCTGCCAATGCCTCCTTCCAGTTGCTGGGATTATAGGCATTCGACTCTCCTCGTTAATTCTTACTAAATTTTGGCACTTTAAGGGGAAAAAACAACAACAACAAACACTGAATTTTGCCTTCCGTTAGTATTGGCATAATTCTGGCCTAGCTGAAAAGAGCTGTTTACTACCATTGCTAAGTGAAGAAAACATGCTATGCCAAGCCTCTCTAAAATTTAGTAAGAAAAGAAAGCCCTTGTTGATGATTGCTTTATTGATGGTTACCTCTCCACGTCTAGATTTTTACTTATTGAATTTCCAAATATGAAGCCAGTTTTCATAAACCCAGTTTTTTAGATTTTTCAAAGTGAAAAAAAATTTTTTCCCTTCCTATGCTGGGGAAGAGCCCAGGGCCCAGTGCTTTATTATCAAGCTGTATGTGCTGATATCCTACACCCCCCTCAGGAATTTTAATTGCAAATTACTTGGGAAAATATTTGACAGTTTAACCTACTTGTCCCTTGGATCTTCAGTCATTCTTAGATTAAGAATACAGTGATGCTTAATGGGAATATGGCCCATACCTGTGTTTCCAGCAGGAGGATCATGAGTTTGAGACCGGTCTGGATTACATTCAATGCCAGAATCTCAGGAAATCAAAAGGAGCTTGGCCTGGTGGCTCACTCTTTAATCCCAGCACTCTTGAGAGAGTGACAAGCAGATATCTGAGTTCAAGGCCAGCCTGATCTATGTAGTGAGTTAAAGAACAGCCATGTAGGTTATGTGGGGAGACTCTGTCTCAAAAACAAGAAAAAAAAATCAAAAGCAGTTTCAGTTGTATCGATCCTTCTTTATTGACAGCTCTTACTTCTTGCAATATTACTCTGCAATATTAACAATGCTTTTCTTCAGATCTATGTCAGGGTAACGACCCTGACTCTAAGCTCTTCCTCCACAGTGTCTAATAGTTAACCTAAATAAGAGATTGTGGTGTAGGAACATACAAAATAAGTAGATGATAGTTTAGTTGTTACTAACTAGCTAGTTGACTTTGGCAAGATTATTGATCTTGTAAATTAATGACATGGCTGGGTTCATGTCTTCTATTTGTTTTTTGTTTTGAGATGACATTTTCTGAATTATTCATGCTAGCAACAAACTCCCAGTTTGGGATGATGGCCACGAAGGAGCCAATTTTTTTGTTTGTTTGTTTGATTGATTGATTGTTTTTCAAGACATGGTTTCTCTGTAACAGCCCTGGCTATCCTGGAACTCACTTTGTAGACCAGGCTGGTTTCAAACTCAGAAAGATCCACCTGTTTCTGCCTCCTGAGTGCTGGGACTAAAGGCGTGTGCCACCATGCCCATCAGAGCCAGTTCTTAACACTAGAGTGCTTCCTACATGCAAGCTGGGTGCTGTGGCCTCTCATTTGCCGAGGAAAAATGAATAGGATGATGGAGGGTCTGGGCAGATGGCTCAGTGGTTGAGTGCTTACTGCTCTTTGAGTTTCTAGCACCCACATCAAGAGGCTCACCTCAGCTCCAGAGGATCTATTGCCTTCTGATCCCTGAGGGTGTCTGCACGTGGGTGGTACACAAAAGCAAAAGTAAAATTTTCTAAAATAGGAAATAAAAAAAAAAGAATGAGATGTGTAATGGCACATACCTATAGCCCCAGCTACCCAGAGGCTGAGGCTGCAGGATCAACTACATCTAGGAGTTCGAGACCAGCCAGAACAATATAGTGAGGCAGGGCTAGAGAGAGAGGTGGCTCAGAGGTTAAGAGCATATAGTGCTTTTTCAGAGGATCTGAGTTCGGTTCCCAGAACCCACATTGTGTAGCAAATAGCTGCCTGTAACTCCAATTCCAGAGAATCTCAACACCCTTTTCTCACCTCCTTGGGCAACTGCACTCATGCACATACACACAGATAAATACATAATTAAAGTGAAATAAAGTAAGGCCCTATATCAAAAAGAGAAGAATAATAATGATAAGTAATCAAATATGTGCAGAGATCATTTAGGATTCAAAGGATGCAGATTAAGCTGTATTAAATTAGCAATCTATTGAGAGGGTGCTTCTAGAATTTATTTTACAAAATAGGATACTCTTGAAAGAGAAAGCAAAGGATATTAATCCCAGCTAAACTGTGCTCTTATTAATGAAGGAATTACATCCACAAATTTTTGCCATAAACTCTGTTATCAGAGTTAGATACATTATAGGAAGCATGGGGAGTCTTTAGGATCCGACATTGAACTTTATTACATTTATTTATTGGGTGTGTGTGTGCGTTTCTGTGAAGATCAGAGAACAGCTTTGAGGGATTTGTTTCTCTCCGTAGATCATGTGTGTTCTGGGGATCAAGCCCAGGTCAGGCTTGGCAGCAGTCTCCTTTACCTCCTTAGCCGCCATATCGGCAGACAAGTGAGGCAGATTCTTGATGGCTCACATGAGACACTCCTCCACTCTTAGGATGGCTCTGATAGTGTATTGCTGTTTCTGGGAAACCAGATAAAATACTTCAGCCAAAGCCAGGGCCACCTAGGAATGTCTTGAATTCAGTATTGAGACTTACGATCTAAGATCTTGAACTATCTTAAGCTTGTGTTAAACAGCTATAATTTAACAACCCTTCATTAAGTAACAGTCTATGACTTGTTAATCACTTGCTTTTAGCTGCAGTTGTATAGTAAAAATCTGTCTTGTAGTGTAATTTCACAAAAACTGGGAATATAAAAATACTGATATTTTGCTCATTTTTTTTTTTCATATTTATTCTTTGACCCTGGTTGTTTTGAGAAAGGATCTCACTATATAGTCCTGGTTGGCCTGAAATTCACTATGTAGACCAGGCTGACCTCAGATCTATCTGCCTTTGCCTCCTTAGTGCTGGGATTAAAGGCATGTGCTATCATGCCTGGCTTTGTTGCTATTTATCAACCCACTTTTTTTTTTTAAACCCCAAGTAAGTTTGCTGTTAATACCTTCATGAAATACATCTTAAACAAAAAAAAGTCATGTTACTGATTAATCAGTTTACAATTTTTTTAGATCCTTCTAGCACTTTCAAAAAGTATATTCTATAGGTGTGCTTGGAATGTAAAATTTCATCTACCTTTTTTTATTTAAAGTACTGTCTGATTTTTAAATTTAATTTGATTTTTGAGACTGGGCTTTGTGTACCTCAGGCTGGCCTGAAACTAAGTAGCTGAGGCAGACCTTGAATTTCTGATTCTCCTGCCTCCACTTCCTAAGTGTTGTGGGTTCAAGGCCTGTGCCATACCATCCCCACAGTGATGCCCCGCTGTCTGGCTAATCCTTTATAATTGAGACTCACTTTTGAAATTGTGGTGTACTCCATAGACTCGGCTCACATAGCTAATTTAGGGACGACCTATTGAGCCTTGCTTCTTCCCCTCCCTTATCTTGACAGAGCAGCATTTTATAGGTATCTTTTGTATTTGTTTATGCCTTTCCCTAGGGTCAATGTAGAAATAAGGTGTTATACCACGGGGTATTACTGTTAGACACATTGCTTTCCAGTGACTGTAAATTGATATTGTTAGCATATGAGAGAAGTAAGCCTTTCCTTGGTGTTTGAGTTGGTGGTGTTTTCTGCTTATTTTAGATGCGAGTCTTGCTGTGTAGCTCAGAATTGGCCTTTTTTTTTTTTTTTTTTTTTAAAAAGGAAGGTTTTAACTTTAACATGGTAAAATTATATATAACAAAACAATTGAGTTTCTTACCTCAGCCTTCCCACTACTAGAATTATAGGCTTGCACTGCCAACCTGGATTTTTGAATTTTTTATTTTATTTATTTATTATTTTCCTTTTGAGGAATTTTTTTTAAAGATTCAGTTATTTTTATTTTCTGTGTTCGGTTTTTTGCCTGAATGAATATCTTGTACCACCTGTGTGCATAGTGTCTTCAGAGGCCAGAAGATGGCATTGGATCCCCTGGAACTGGAGTTACAGACAGTTGTGAGCCACCCTGTGGGTGCTGGGTCTTCTGCATGAGCAACCAGTGCTCTTGACCGCTAAGCCACCTCTCCAGGCCCCAAATAATATTTTTACTGGAGATTTAGGTTCCTTTCCCTGTGGTCACCCCCCCCCCTTTTTTTGTCCTACACTCCTGTATTTTTTGAGATTATAATATTAATTACATCATTTCCTCTCCTTCCCTCCCTCCAAGCCCTCCTTGCTTTTTTTAAAATTTATGACCTCTTTTTCATTGTTATTCCTATATATACATATATTCATATTCCTACATATAAAAACAACCTGCTCTGTCTGTATAATGTTACTTATGTATGTTTTCAGGGCTGACCATTGGTATTGGATAACCAATTGTACTTTTCCCTGGGGAAGACTCTTTCCCCCTCTTTTAGCATTCCTTTGTAGCTTGTAGCTCTTTATGTAGGATTGAGGCATCATGGTCATTCCTCTGTCCACTTCGGCATGTCTATTATGGTGTGGCCTTCGTTTAGCTAATGGTTAGGTAGTCATATTGGTAAGACTTTATGGGTATGGCTTCTGGCATTCCTGTGAGACCCAATCTCACAGCATACCCCCTGGTCTTCTGCTTCTTTCTGTCTTCCGCCCTCTCTCCTGCCGTATTCCCTGTAGGCTGGCCTCCAGCTCACAGAGATCTGCCTGGCTCTGCCTCCCAGTGCTGGGATTAAAGGCGTGTGCCACTACCACCCAGCATGGTTGTGATTTTTCTTAAAGGGAAGTTTCAAGTTTCCCTGATGAGTAGGGAGAACTACACTTGGGTATAAGGACATATTTAGAATGTAGTTAGGGGGTATGCTGGTTTAATAATAAAGTGCTGCTTGTAGGTTCTCCTCTAAGATCGGTAACTTCACCAACTCTGAATAGCTGGCTAAGGTTCCTGTACCAGGCATGATTTCCTTGTTGTTAAGCAGGTCATAAGTTTAGGTAGAGACACTGGTTACTGCCAAGGTATGTGCGCCTGCATTGCATGTTCTTTGATATGTTTTATTCATATGCACATGTACATATTTATGCACATACACATACTATCTAGATAATCCATGTACTTGTAGAGTATTACAGGCACATTTCACCATGCTGTGTTACCTTCTTTGAGAAATATTCTTTTAAAAAGTATATATAGTTATTTAATTAATTAATTTGAAACAGGGTCTCTATGTAGCCCTGGGTATCCTGAAACTTTAGATGTAGACCAGGCTAGCCTCTCCAAATCTGCCTGCCTCTGAGCTTAGGAGGCAGCGATCAAAGCCCTGTGCCACTACACTTGGCTGTTATTTTAGTTTTAATTATGTGTATGTGTGTGGGAGAGATGTGCATGTGCCTACAGAGGCCAAAAGATAGCATTGAATCTCCTGTAGATGGAGTTACAAGCAGTTATGGCCTGCATGACCAAACTCAGGTCCTCTAGAAGGCTGTTAACCAGGAGCTATATCTCCAGCTCCCCTCCCCACTTCAGAGGGATTTTCAGATTGCAGCCAGCCTAGTTTTGAACTTTGGTAGTTCAATCTCCCTATTGCCTTTTGCTTCAATCTCCCTATTGCCTTTTTGATAAGTGTTCTATATCTTATTTAAATCTATTTCTAGCTTTATGATATGGGAGAGGCTGTGCGTGTGTGTGTGTGTGTGTGTGTGTGTGTGTGTGTGTGTGTGTGTGTGAGAGAGAGAGAGAGAGAGAGAATGGAGCCTTGAGGAATGTTCCAAGTTGTCTATTCATTCTGACAACTCTCCCCTCCCTGGACCCACCAGGAAAGGCCACTGCTCTGGGAGCCAACATCTATTGAAGTCATATCTCCTGTTAGAAGACACTTTCTCCTCTTCAAGGCATTTTATATCTCTCATCTCCTTTAATTCACCAGACTGTAGTTACTACTATCAACATGCCACTAACAAAGCTGCATAATTGTATGCAGTTGGACTGGCCAGGAGCACACCCAGCAGCTAGGCTATCTGCAGACCCTGCATCTGATCCTTCCAGTCAAGGCCAACAACCATGGCCCATCCAAGCCAGCGATCCTGGCATCCCTGCGTTTCTAGCTGGCAATAAGCTCCCTGGTCCCCAGGGCTCCTTCACTCTGTAAACTGTGGTGGATGAAGAAATGTGGGTTCCTAGCAGCCAGAGGCCAACAAAGGAAACATCAGTTCCTTTTTGGTCACAAGGAGCCTGAGGGACCTTGATTCGCTGCCTGGTCTCTAGACAGTAGCTCTCTGGAAATGTCTCTTTAGCCTCCTGCATCACATAAGAGCAAAGCATCAGCCAGGCACAGTGAGGAGAACACACGCAAGTCACTTGTCTCTAATGCATCTGGTAAACATCTGTTTAGACCCAAAGGAAGAACACAGTCTCTCTTTAAAAACAAAACAAAACAAAAAAAACTTTCTTTCTTTCCCCCTTTCTTCCTTTCTTTTTTCTTTCCTTCCTTCCTTCCTTCCTTCCTTCCTTCCTTCCTTCCTTCCTTCCTTCCTT